GCAGCTGCTTCTCCAGCTGCAGCTCCAGCACCTCCCCGCCCTCCACCTCGCCCTCGCCCTCACCCTCCACCTCCACCTCCGCCTCGCCCTCGCCGCTCGCACTCGTACTCGCCTAAAACATAACAGTAATCAACTACTATAAAGATTCCCGCAAATCATATATCTATACTATTATAATAAAGCGTAAACACACACTTCTTTGTGGCCTAAGATGTCAGCAATTAGAGCATATTTTTTAAAAAGCCCTTCACTTACGTCACGCTTAAGGCTTTATATTTTCACGCCATTAAATTTAGATGGTAAACATTTTGGATAAAAACCCTAATGCGGGAAAGAGACCATAAGTTGTTGCCAACATTGAGGAAGCAAGATTGCCAAGGTTTGTCATGTCATGTCATTTTGACATTTGCAATTGATAATTTGACAAATGTAAACAATAAAATAAAATTTTCATAATTTCATGCGGATGAAGCCGCACTGGAACAGCTAGTATTTATTATATTACACATCACCACACACATAATATGGTTAAATCTGTGGTGTACCTGTGCGGTGACGTCATGGTGTGCGTGGTGCGCGGCGCTGGCAGCGTTGCCTGCGCGCGCAGTCCGCAGCGCCGCGCGCGCCGGCAGCGCCTCCATGCTGCCGCTCTGCACGCTGCATGGCATCGTGATGGTCGCCACGCTCTTCACCACTGTCATACCAAACATGAAGGTGTCAATACCATAGACGTTTAAATAATATATAGACAAGGCATAGTGAACATTTTTTTAATCGGTTTTTTGTGACTCATTTGACACTTGTAGAGGCATTTACAGGTTCACCGAATTTGAGGTGGCCGACCGCTGATGGCGTTTAGCCTAAACCTTATGAGTAACTAACTATATGAGTATTTATGAGTAACTAAGGTCGAGGGCTTCCTCAGGAGCCGTTACTTCGTTTTTATTACCGGATTGGATTTCACCGGTACTTTCTCTGAATGGTACTGTACCGGTTGTTGTACGATGTTCCAAGTTATGTGTCAACTTATGTAAATACATAAAGAACCCATGCCTCTTCTAAGTGTTAAATATGTTTGTTAAGTACAGACCAATGTCCCCGTGCTCGTCGTAGAGCGGCGCGAGGCGCGGGCGCACGGCGCGCAGGAAGTCGGCGAGGCGCGGCGCCGGCCCCTCCGCGCCGCCCGGGAACACCAGCTCCGTGTCGAATATCGTCATCAGAGCGCTGCAAATGGAACATGTTAACACTGTATGTGGATATTAAAGAAATAATTAAAATCCGTAGTGTACCGAAGTTATTACCTGCCGACAGTTTCCCGCACGTTCTGGTAGGGATGTTGTATGAAGTTGGTAGACTCCAGCCGTTTGAGGAGCTCCGCAGCGAGCGGCGCCGCGCGCCACGTCAGCGTTCCTATTGCACCCTGCAATAATGCATATAAATTAGTTAACTATGATTAGTTTTTGATTTCTACTTAAACAATACATTAATAGCAATTTTTGAAAAATAAAATGACAATTATTCGAATTCTTGAAATCATTTGTGGTGTGACATAGTCTGTATTTTAAAAATTTAATTTTAGTATAGCATTTTTCAAATGTCCTTGGGATTCAGATTGTGAGAGATTGGGGAGAATACGCACGAGCCGCTGCACAGAACACAATATTAGGTGTACCGGGGCTTAAGAGATGAGGCACTGATCTGTATAAATGGATAGACGATTGTTTGGAAATGACAGCTTTTGCTTCATTCCGATAATCACAGGTCTACCACTATTACCAGTTCGAAAACTTTACTGCGATCATCTTCGCTAAAATGGTGAAAATGTGAGCTAAAATGGCACAAAATACCGCAGTTGATAGCCTGTCTATTTATAGTGATCAGTGGTGTGTGGACCTGCAGCGCGATGAGCCTGGCGCAGAGCACGAAGGAGGCCTGGTGGTCGTGGGGGGCGGCGGCGCTCTCCGGCGCGCAGAAGTCGAGCAGTGCGGTGAGCACGCGGCCGCTGCGGCGCGGGTCCAGCCTGTCGACGCCGGTGGCCAGGCACGTGCCCCAATCCTCGATGGTCTCCGCCGTCACCGCGGTCAGACCTGCACAATGGTATTCGCTTTAGCACATACTAACAAGTTTATGTAGCATCTCTTGTAGGTCTGTAACAAATGGAATTTCGTTGGCAGGTTTCATATACAATTTATTAGTAAAATCGACTTTTGACGGTTGTTATCGCAGAATTAAAAAAGCCTAATTAACTACGAAGTTACCTTTCAGCGATAAACACCAAAACGGACTAAATCGTTTTGAGGATTGACCGGACAAACGCGGTTTTGCGTATAGACAGAAAATTTAAAATTAATTAATTTACACTTTATTATATTTGCATTTTTCCGATATTTAAAACACTTTAATGTTATTAATTCCAATTGACATAGATTTACCCCGAGTCTGTGGTAAGGAATCTACATCATACAGCCCCCTTTAGCCCCTAAGGGACGGATTTTAGTGTAACTGACCAGCTTTAATGATATCGAGTGCGGTGTTGTGCATGAGCGTGGCTCGGCGCATTGACCAGTAGCGCGGCGCGGAGAGCGCGGCCGCTGCTAGCTCCGCCGCCAGCCGCTGCGGCGCCTCCTGCGGGTCGCTGGCGCAGCGCAGTGCGTGCGATAACAACTTCGACGCTATTCTCTCACCAAAATGACTGAATAATAACTGGAAAAAAGCGCCTTGTGAATTAAAATAGCAACTTTTCCACATTGAGTGTTTTCGATTTAGCTATTCTTTTTTAACAGGCTCTGTCCCAATTATTTTGGACAATATTAGACTATATTCTCTCGAATTCCTAAATACTTAGGGTGCTACATGAAATACGATTAATAATAAGAATATATTGATCTACATAAAATACGTTAATGATTAACTTACTTTAAATAGAACAAAGCGAATGCCGTTGAATTTATCTTTTCCCTTTTTCTCTTCCACAGTAAGGAAGGCGACGAGACGATCCACGTTTGCATCGTCAAAGAAGAATTCAAATATATGTCGCTCTCCTTCCTCCATGTCTTCTACTTTCTGTTCCGTGAAGGAGAACTGTTGATGCGATGGTGCTGCCACCTGGGAACAATTAACATTTGTGTGAACCAAATAAAAATTACCACATGTAAGTGTCGATTAGCTGTATTTAAAATTCAAGTAAAGTGGAAAGATTTGTGTTTTTGTATGTAATTAATAAACTCAAAAACTACTGGACCCATTTAAAAAATATTTAACCATTAGAAAGCTATATTATCACTGAATAACACCGAATAAGTTGCGAAAAGATAGTTATATAATAAATACGTCTTTTAAATACCTCGAGTCTTTTGGGCCAACAGTAAAATCCGTAGTGCGATTTCCTGAGCCAGGGCCTGTCCCACTCCTCGTCGGTCTGCGGAACGTAGTCCTTGTCCCACATCACCCACTCCAGGTCTTTTCTATAACCTGCATAAATATACTCTTATACTAAAGATATGTGCTAAATGTATCGCGTTTTGAACAACTAGCTGTTGCTCACGACTTCATACGCGTGAATTTAAAAAAATGATAAAAATTAAAGCCTGTGTAGTGACACAGGGAGTGCACTGATAACGTAGCTTTTTAATGGTGAAAGATATGGTGCAAGATACACACAAAAATACAAATCTTTCCTCTTTAAGTTATTAGTATAGATGATACTTAAAAAGCACTTATTACTAAAATTATTGTTCGTCCTGCGGCCTGCGTGATCGTAAAAGATCACGTAATCAGTGGAAACAGGGCAAGACTCTGCAGATATATTGGCTAGCATAAAATAAAAATGTTAGGAAGCCAGTGAGGTTGAGTCAGTCATCAGTTACGCACTCAAACGTATTCCGTGTAGAGTTACAAATATAAATATAAAGTGATACATTTCCAACAATAAACATGACATAAACCAGCATTAAGTGGTATTATTTTCCATGTCCCATATTAGGGGTTTATGGTGCATCCCCAATGGCTTAAGTATTGAATGTTTGGTATAGAATGTACATTATAAATACGTATCTGATGAAATTAAAATTGTAAAAACACATAGTGTGTGGTTCTCCACTATTCGTACCTGGTACGTGTACTTCTGGTTTAGGTACGCCGGCGACCTCGTACGGATCGACCGTCATCTTGACGATCTTCTTCTTGCGCTGTCGAAAGCAGAACGCGACAAGGCGCAGCGCGGACCGGCGTACCGCAATATCGTCGTGTACCAGCGCGTGTACCATGAAATGTACCGCACGCGGCGGGTACGGAGTTTGTAGGGACGAGCAAGATGTTAGTATCTGCATTATCAGTTCCAAACGACGCCATGTTCTGTGGAAATTAAAAATAATGACAATGTTTTAAATCAAAGTAAACTGTTGAAACTAGATAAGAAAAAAATCTGAAACATAATGAAGTTCAGTTACAATTGTACAACTATTTTAATATTTCACGTAATAATTTTAAATGAACGCACTTACATATTAGGCGATGTGGCTATATCAATCAATTCGTCCATAAAATCCTTGTATATCTTCTCAGTGTCATCAGACAGCTGGTTCTCTTTAGCCTCCGCCTCTCGCAGCATCTCTGCGAAGGTGGGCTCGTTCATTTGAGTCTCGTTTAGGAAATACTTAGCCGCGTCGCAAGCTGCCTGCGTTATCTTCAAGCGAGTGTTCACTGTTGGAAAACTACGGTGCAAAGAATCACCAAATGCTTGCTCTAATCTGAAACATAAATTACTGTTAGTTGATACAAGTTTTTTATTATTATTTACACTAATAGAGTTATCTGTTTTTGTTTCGAATTGACTCAAATACAACACTTGATGCTATAACAATTTGGCATAAAGGATAGTCTGTAAGAACACATAGGCTACTTATTTGGATTATTCCCAACCGTCCCACGCTCTGTCCAGACGTGGAGACAGATAAGATTAAAAAGATTCATCCGTCCCATTTTTTGCGACAAGGGGACGGTTGGAACTTACTTCATTTCATACCGGTTCGAACTGTCACCTTATTAGTGAAAGTGGGACTAAAAGGTGGGACAAATGAAACTTATAATTCTCACGTTGGGACAGAGCGGGGTGACGGTTAGGAATAATCGACTTGTTTTACATTTTTTAATTGCACACGGATGTAGTCGAGTGCGAAAGCTATTTACTTCATAATGGTGGGTTTCTCGCTGAGCGGCGCCCGGAACAGGGCGAGCGCCAGCGTGCGCAGAACCTGCCAGTCCTGCTTGGCGAGAAGGGGCGCGGCGCGCGGGCCCAGCATGATGAAGAGCGCGCCCTTGTGCCGCGCGTGCGCCTCCGCGCCCTCGCCGCCCGCCGCCAGCAGCTGCGCCAGCCGCGGCAGCAGCGCGCGGTACGAGTACGGGTAGTGCCCCAGCATCCAGTACAGACGGATTTGCGACAGTATGCGCACCTGGTGGGACAACATATATAATACATCGAACATCTAGTAGTGAAAATTTTAGAGTTGCTAATGTTATAAATGTGAAAATTTAGACGAATGGCCGGATGTTTGTTTTTACAACCTACCTTACTCACTTTTTAAGGTATTTCCGGTACGGCCCAAGATGAAATTCGACAGAGATGAAGAACATAGTCTGGAAGAACCTATAGGCTACTTACTAAGTTTTTTTTATATCAGCGAGGATTGTGCTGCGGGCAAAAGCTAGTAAACTGGATCAGTGTAGCAAATAGAAAATTAAAAACAACTGTAGACAAAAAGTTACCACCAGTGTTTCCAAGAAAACTTAAATTGATAAATTGGAAAATAAAAAAAAAACCAACTTACCGATGTATAAATATTGATGGAAAGATCATATAGGGCATGCAGAGCCTTCAATGCGGAGGGCGTGATACCGGCCTCACAGATGAGGTCGAAGCGCGCCTCGTCCTGTATGCGCGCGGTGTCCGCCAGCAGCGAGCGCAGGCGCGCG